TATATATATATAATTTATTTATGTCTTCTATCTAAATCTTATTTTAATTAATTAATGTATCAATTATGTTTATTAAAGCATGTTCATTTTGTGGCCTAAAACAGCGTTTTTAAGCAAATAATTATGAGGTTCCATTTGTGTCAAAAATGACTACAGTCATTGTCAGTGTCTACAGTCATTGCCTACTTGTTCAGGTAAATCAGTATATGTTGGCGTGTATGTTGTCTGTTGACGTTGTCTTAATCTGTCGTCCTGCTTGCTTTTTCTCTGTCGTTTAATTGCTGTCGTCCTTATTGTCATTTTGTTCTGTCGTCTTGTTGTGTCGTCCTAACTGTCATCTTATTCTGTCGTCCTTACTGTCGTCCTAACTGTTGTCTTGTTCTGTCGTCCTAACTGTCATCTTATTCTGTCGTCCTCACTGTCGTCTTTACTGTCGTCCTAACAGTCATCTTGTTCTGTCGTACTGTCGTCTTTACTGTCGTCCTAACTGTCATCTTATTCTGTCCTCTTTACTGTCTTCTTGTTCTGTCGTCCTAACTGTCATCTTATTCTGTCATGCTTAATGTCGTCTTGTTCTGTCATCATAACCTTCATCAGCGCTGTAAAGTTAGTTTCACATTTCATATTCGACTAGGCTGCTTTAGGGACCGTCTGCAAATTTACCTCACAGTACAAAATGAAGTACAATAATTAATTCAAATTAATGTTTAGGAAAAAAACTACTGTAATTCACCAAAAAAGGCTTTTTCATGTTCCAAAGGTTGTAGTATGTACCTAGTTACAAAACGTACGAGTTTGCCAATATCTCCCTTACTGTATGTACAACAGTGCACAAAATATTTTATGAAAAAATGACAGTAATTTACCAATAGGTCTTTTTCATGTTCCAGAGGTTGTAGTATGTTCCTAGATACTGACATGTGAGATTTTGGCAGTTTTGTAGTACATTTTCAGTTACAAGACTGACTTATGATTTGTGAAATTTTGCTCATACCTCCTTTACTGTATGTACAGTACACAAATATTTTTAGAAAAAAATATAGTAATTTATCAATAGGTTTTTTTATGTTCCAAAGCTTGTAGTACATTCCTAGTTATGAGACTGGCTTACTACAGGTGATATTTTGCCAATATCTCCCTTACTGTATGTACAGTACACAAATATTTTTAGAAAAAGGTTGTAGTGTTTTCTTATTTACAAGACTGACTTACTACAGGTGAGAGTTTGCCAATATCTCCCTTACTGTATGTACAGTACACAAATAATAATTTAAAAAACTACAGTTTTTCACCAAGAGGGTTTTACTATGTTCCAAAGGTTGTCTTATATTTAGTCAGTTTTGCCCACTAGTAATTTACCAATAGTTTTTTTTGTTTTGTTTCATGTTCCAAAGGTTGTACTACAGTATTTTTTATGAAAATAATTGTGTACTGTACATATATGACGGGAGGTATTGGCAAAATCTCACACGTAGTAAGTCAGTCTTGTATCTAGGAACATACTACAACCTTTAGAACATGAAAAAAAAACCTATTGGTAAATTACTGTAATTTTTTCATAAAATATTTGTGCACTGTACATACATTAAGGGAGATATTGGCAAACTCATAAGTTTTGTAACTAGGTATATTACTACAACCTTTGAAACATGAAAAAGCCTTTTTGGTGAATTACAGTAGTTCTTTTCTAAACATATTTGTGCACTGTACGTCCAGTAAAGCAGGTATTGGCAAAATTTCACCTGTAATAAGTCAGTCTTCTACAACCTACAACCTTTGTAACATGAAGAAAAAAAATACAGTAGCCTAATTTTTTCATGAAAATATTTGTGTACTGTACAGACTGAAGGGAGATGTTGGAAGTATTGTCTAAAGCGAGACATTGGCAAAATATATTTAGTCAGTTTGCCCACTAGGCATTTACTATAGTCCTGTGAGTTAGGACGACAGAACAAGACGACAGTAAGGACGACAGAATAAGATGACAGTTAGGACGACAGTAAAGACGACAGTTAGGACGACAGTTAGGACGACAGAATAAGATGACAGTTAGGACGACAGTAAAGAAGACAGAAAGAATGACAGAACAAGACGACAGTTAGGACGACAGAATAAGATGACAGTTAGGACGACAGTAAAGAAGACAGAAAGAATGACAGAACAAGACGACAGTTAGGACGACAGAATAAGATGACAGTTAGGACGACAGTAAAGAAGACAGAAAGAATGACAGAACAAGACGACAGTTAGGACGACAGAATAAGATGACAGTTAGGACGACAGTAAAGAAGACAGAAAGAATGACAGAACAAGACGACAGTTAGGACGACAGAATAAGATGACAGTTAGGACGACAGAACAAAATGACAATAAGGACGACAGTAATTAAACGACAGAGAAAACGCAGGCAGGACGACAGATTAAGACGACGTCAACAGACAACATACACGCCAACATATACTGATTTACCTGAACAAGTAGGCAATGACTGTAGACAAAGACAAATGTATAGTACAAAGCACAAAGCAGTCGACTCATTTTTGACACAAATGGAACCTCATAAAATGGAACCTCATAGTAATTAATTAATGAAAAAATGACACTTGTAATTTATATGCATGTAATTGCATATGTAATTTTGTTAATAGTATTTATTTAGTATATTTATGTTGTAAAAGTAGCGTTTTTAATTATTATTATTAATTATAAATCTGTGATGTTTAATAGATTTTTCTTTATTTGGCTCCATTACTTTGCTCTTATATCTATATTTCGTCATAATTCATTGTAATCTTTGTTGTCTTTAAAGACCTTTAAAATAGATGAACTGACTGTGTGGCTATGTTAAGTTTAATTACGTTGTAATTCTGGAATCTATTCTTAAAATAAAACATCTTATGTAAATGTTTATCCTATCTCGAATGCCGTTTGTTTTAATTTTTCAGTAAGGAGAAAAGAATATTCAATATTTCAAATATTCTACATTTTCGGAAGTGAGGAGAGGCTTCTTAAATGTACTTCCGGTTTCGTATGACGAAGGAGGCGGGACTTTGCTAGCTATCAACGCTACTTGCTGGCTAACAGTTGCCGCTGTGGTGTTACTGAAGGATTATTCCTAACTGCGCCAATAAAGTCGAGATTTTAATACGGGTAGGTCAGCGTATTTCTAAAACCCTTTGTTCCCCAATACGTTTATAAAGCGCAGCAAAATTAATATAAGAAACCGAAGTGCGCTTTACTAGAGAAGTGAGTGAGTACGAGAGCACACCGCGAGACCGCTCTTTTGTTTGACTGAAACACGGAGCGTCGATTGGCTGTTGGCGTTTAGGGATTGTTTACCGGAAGATTAGCACGCGGCTAAGTATGCTATTCCACATAACACTGTACATGCATATAGTCCAAAGCATAATCGCTTCTGTTAAAGGCTTACTTAACAGCTGGTATAAAAGAATGCATAACGTTATATGGGTGATTAATTAATGTCCAAACTTTCGTTTGTCCTCCATTAAGCAGGTCAACTGTGGTTTGTTTATGATAAGTAGCTCATAGGTATTGTAAACAACATTTATTATGTTGAAATGATATATGGTGATTCTCAAAATCTACAGACATATTATACCATCTTTAAATCCTGAAAATCTGCGATAGTTATCGTAAGAGTTCCTTATTATGTTGTACTCTTATTGCATTCAAATGTGAAGTCGTTTTAGGTTTAACTGGTGACATTTGTTCAGTAAAAAGTATAACCATGCAAATGTATAGAATAGATATTAAGGATTGGTACCTGCCATACAAATGGCATTTATCTCCATGAAATAATTCTGAGAGTCTACATCATTTTATTAATACAACTGGAAGAGTCATAGACATTAATTAGTGCTGGAAGCCCTGAGTCTAAAAGGATGTTTGTTGGTGAACAGGTACCATTTCAATGGGCTCTAAGAGAAGACGAGCCACCTCTCCCTTCAGCAGTGCCAGCGGAGGAGACTTTGATGATGCCACCTCATCCACCCTAGTCAGTGGATGGAAGAGGAGGAGAGCTTCCACTGCTCCTTCTGTTGATCAAGTGAGTACATGGCATTTAGTATAGTCAAAACAACTTGCTTTAGCTCACGGTTTGGTTTAGATCATATAACAATGATCTTGTCAGATTGACTTGGACTAT